GTGTAAAATGATCTATGTTTGTGAAATTATTGAGCATGGTGAATGGATTGTTTTCTTTATTCACACAATTTTTGGTTAAACTCTTTGTGGAGTTCAGTTATGACGTTTTCTCTTTAATGCAAACGTTGCCACTAAACCACGACACCAAAATACTGAAAATTCACACTTTCCACAATTTGGCGTCATTAATCTGTGTCATACAGCTAGTACTTTTTTGGAGGCAACTGGGTAAATTCCTTTGAGAGAATTCATTCAGGTACGACCAATGGAAATAGTCTGAATTCTCCCCAAATTGACTTTTTCAAACAAAATGTTGAACTGGTGTTTTTTTAGCTTGTGTTCCAATTGAATTTGATCATGCACTGAAAGGGACCAAATTGTATTTTCTACCAGTTCGGGCATATTATGTATTTCACGTGGCACCTAGGTCTGACACAAGGGACCAAATTGTATTTTCTACCAGTTTGGGCATATTATGTATTTCACGTGGCACCTAGGTCTGCTCATACCCTATGATTTAAACCTGGGAATTTCACAATTTAGCATCAACCATCTGCCGAATTTGCCAGTTCAAGTGGCGATCAGGTAAATTCCGTTGGAATTTATCTCTGGTGCAACCCATGAATTTTGCCTGAAAACTACATCTTCAAACTAAAATGGCTGACTGCCTTTGCATTTCATGGTATAGGTTTGATTTGAATTTTCTGCATTCTGTCCTGATGAACGTGCATAGTTCTTGCATAAGTTGTTGTTAGATTCCAGTGTGTCCTGCCATGATGACACTGCGCGCCAGAGCTTGTCTAAATGGGATGTACCGATGACTGGTACTGATTTTATTCAACACCGCAGGGGGTGTATCTATTTCATGCCATTTGTGTTTTAGTGTCTTTTTGGAAATGCTAAATAACCCGCTTCAGCTTTTATATTTAACCTCTGGGCCTGATCGGAAAAAGGGAGTTGAAAGAAGTTTGCGGTTCCCAGCCGACAGCTTCATTTGCAGAACCTTCCACCCTTCACCAGTGAAGCGTGCACGACAGGGTGGTTCAATCTGTATAGAAGAAGACATGTTGGACAACTTAAACACTTCCAGACCCAAACAGATGCTTTCTAGATAAAATGATGTCTGCTTAGAAGTGCAAATACTGACCGATAACCAGTGCCGTCTGGTGCTGTACTTAATTCCAACAGTAGGTGGCGCTGAAGCATGAAATGCTAGTTATGGTCATTCCAAAACAAGCCACCTATTCTGTGTTTCTCTTGTTTATATTTCCTGATATAGTTTTATGGTCATTCCAAATCAAGCTAGTTATGGTCATTCCAAATCAAGCCACCTACTCTGTGTTTCTCTTGTTTATATTTCCTGATATAGTTTTGAATGGATCGATGTTGGATCCGTGCTAGCCATGCAGCTACTCCAGGCTAAATGGCAACCATTTACATCATCTTGACATGTGCATGCGGTCATGCTAATAATGCATTACCCGTCTGCAATAAACCGCTGATTATGGTTGCAAGCACAACGAGCCACTCTTCCTTCTCAGCAACAAGTTGCCATGGCAACAGTGTCCTTTCACACACACTTTTTTCTTCTTTCATCCCAACAATCAGAAAAAAAAAATCACATCCACAACTAGAATGTGATCCTTCAAAATGAAACAAAAAAATAATTTGAGTTGATAGGCCGCCTGGGCAGGTTTAACGGCTCTCAAGTAGTGCATTAAAGCAAATGAAACACCGCTCACAAAGTTGTGCCACACCCTATGATTGCGGAATACAAGCACACTTCCTCCCTGCTATCACAACTAAATGCAGTTTGGTACATTTTGCTTTGATGGCAAGTGCAATTATGACATTGGATCAAATGCTAACATGTCAGTGATGAGTATGCCGTCGTATAGCAAGATAGCAACTTGAGTAATGAAATAAGCATCGGGGTAGATTCATTGAAACAAATACACAGTTAATTTTTTAACGAAGCGTTTGTTTTTACTTACCGGTACATTTGCCATATTTATTTATTTTTAAATAAAATGCGGAGGTGGATTTGTTTTAATTGGAATTAGCATTGTATTGTTTGTTTTTACTTACATTTGCCATATTTATTTATTTCTAAATAAAATGCTGAGGTGGATTTGTTTTAATTGGAATTAGCATTGTATTAATTTGGAAATGTAATTTTTCAAATGTGTTTTTAAGTTTGGAAAAACTTACAAAAAATTCAACTTGTTTGAAATATAGTTTTTAAAATTGATGTTGAATTACATTTTTACCCCCGTAATGGAATGGAATGAATGGATTTTTTTTTACATTTAATACATTTGGAAATACTATATACATTTTAAAACATCTATTTGTGAAAAATATATGTATTTAATTCAAATCAATTATGACTGGTTATTTAGCTTGATTTTTTTTTCCTTCAACCAACCACAAGTATCACTCGTACTGAAATATATACTTAAAACACTTCTGTTTTAATGTGCACTTTCTGTGTGTTGACAAGCGCTCCAATAATGGTGCTCAAATTCTTAACTAAGCAGCAACTTCCTGTCATTGCAGCACCACTTCCTGCTGCATTGAAGCATGCATGTGCTAGAAGGGGACATTGTTGTCCCGCTCCTACCCACCAATTTGTCTGCTTGTTTATGTGAAATGTATATCCCCCTCAGCCTCCACTCCCACCCTCTCGTTTATTGGGCGGACAGCTGAAGGGTGCCATTATCCGCCTCCCTCAATGCAAGCTTTGTGCCATCCATTGCGGTGGGCTGCTAAAAACCGGGGCGGAACCACCAGGAGCACACAATTATGTTTTGCAACCCAGTGGTGAGGTGGGGGTAATTGTATGCATGATTGCCTGCCAAAATGTCGTCAAAAAATGAGACGTTTCAGGCCGTGGCAATAGTAGGAATCCATATATGTATAAAATAACTTGACTTGTCCATCTGTATATCTACAGCTAATTTACAACATCCTATTTTTCCGGGAATGCCTGCAGCCCAGAAGCGACGAATGGCAAATTCCAAAGTCCCAGGCCATGAGCACCCCCGACACACACACACACACACACACACACACACACACACACACACACACGTCTGTTCATGATTTGTCACTGCGTTCGTTTGTGTTTTGGAATTCATCACAAGTATCACAGATGTTTAGTCAGAGTTTCTGTCAGGATTAATTTGACATGAGTGTGGGAATGTGCTCCAATATCAGGCTGGATTATAGATATTTTTCATGAGCAACCTTGCAGTGGAAACTGATGACAATAACATTAACCGGCTGTAAATCTCAATTTGCTTCCAAGATGAGAGTTTAAAAATGAGGATTAGGATTTCAAACTAGGGTTAGTATGCCCAGACTAGCCTTTCAAATTCTGGTTTCAGTAAGGTGCTTTCAAATTGTGGTTGTTTTCACTTGCATTTTTGGTTAAAAAAAAAAAAAAAGCGAAAAACAGTACCAAGTAAACATAAATCTTCACTTGTTTTCAAGATGAAAATGTACCAAAAAGAGGAATGTTTATGTGAAGCCAAACAATACGTGTTTGAAAGCCACCGTTTTGAGGCTCCAACATCCACTTCCTGTCACCCACAGTGCTTCCTGACCTCGCTTCCTGTCTACTCAATAGCTTTTTAAACTCTGCAGTTATGTTTGTTTTTTGTTGGGGGTTTTTTTGCTACATCAAACCATCAGTGAGTCTACAAAGCCAACAATAAATGCATTCACAATGAAATAAATCACTATTCATTCAATATTTTGTGTAATTACTCTTAACTGCTCACGTTTTTTTTTTTTTTTTAAAATAATGGATATCTGTTACATTTCCTTTCAAATTAAGCAAAATTGCAAACAACTGTTCATTAATTATGTCTGCCCCATGTTTTGAGCCGTTTTTGTCATTGCTGGTCAATTTACTCTGTATATAATTCACCCTCAAATGGCTGCTTCAAACCAAAATGGCCGTCTTCCTGTCAAATATCATGAATGGATTCTTGGGAGGTTTTCCTCTGCATCCTGTTTCCGTACACATGTTCACCCAATTTCAAGTTGCCTGGTGAAGTTGGTATCAGGGGCATTTTTTTTTTCAAACTTGTGAATCTCCCGAATTGTAAAACGTAGCCATGTTTCGCCCACATCAGAGGGCGCAGGCAAAGAAAAAAAGCATGACCATTTCGCATCTCCCATCTGCCAAAAATACCTGCTTCTATGCGCCTTTTGATGAATTAATATAAATAAATCAAGGTACTGTATAAGAGCTCCGAAATTCACTCTAAATACCTGCTGAAACCAAAATGGTCTATTTCCTGTTCAATTTCATGCATGGGTTGTGGAGACTTATTTGTGCATCCTGCTATGATACACAGGTCTTCCCAATTTGGTGTCCATCGGTGAAACCGATGGCAGCATTATTATTATTATTATTATTATTATTGTCATTATTATTATTATTATTATTATTTATCTTCTGGTTAGAATGGCCGAATTGACTTTCACTAGCTGCTTCTAACCAAAATGACTTTCTGTTTGATATCGGGCATGGTTGACACTTAGGGTAGCATAAAAAGCCGTGTTGACCTATGATTGGATGCTTCAACCTAAAATGTCCACCTTCCTATTCAACTTTTTACGTGTACTTTAAACTCTTGGTTTTCATCCTGTCATGGTGGACAAATCCAACTTATCTAATGTCAATTGGTGAAGTTTGTGGCAGGGCTGGTTTGTATTTTTTTCCCCGCTAACTTTTTGAGGTGAGCCCCTGAGTTTGTTTTGGAGAATCGTGTTTAAGACTGCTTAAAACATTTTGACCAGACATGCGGTTGTAAAAATTAGTGCATTTCTGGATTTCTCAGCCCAAAAAAAAGGTGATTAATTTGGAATTCGTAAATTCTTACATTTAATACGGGTCGAACAGGACGAGGGGCTGTTAATGTTGTGCAAGGGAAAGCTGCGCATCGTACATTCCTGAATTGTGTACGTTTTTGTTTGTCCTCATACAGACGTTCACAGCGTGGTGCAACTCCCACCTGCGCAAGGCCGGTACACAAATTGAAAACATCGAGGAGGACTTCAGGGATGGACTCAAACTCATGCTGCTTCTGGAGGTCATCTCAGGTAGGCCTGATTGATTCAAGTTATTCCCATTTGTCGGCATACAATGTTTAGCACTAAGGAAGGTGGAAGTACATTTCTTGCCACTCAATTGCGTCGTGGAGTACAAAAGCTTTTATGATAAGGTTTAAAAGCCAGGGTAAAGAGTTCAAATTAAAACTGAATTAGGGTTTGAAAACCAGTGAATGTATTTTTCTCACGGCTTGACCGGTGTTTTTTTTTTTTTTTTTTTTTTTTGGGAGCAACTTAGTCTACCAACTCTGTAAACAGCACAGAATCACAAACATAATGTATTATTATAATATTTATATACCTATTTGTCTGGCGTATGTTTAGGTGAGCGATTACCCAAGCCAGAGCGAGGCAAGATGAGGGTTCACAAGATCAACAACGTCAACAAAGCTCTGGACTTCATTGCCAGCAAGGGAGTCAAACTGGTCTCCATTGGCGCAGAGGGTCAGTAGACACGCATATATACACACACTCACACACACACACACACACACACACACACACACACAATACATATAAATTTGCAATAGGTTATTTGGAACAGGGTGTGGAACCACATACTGCTTCATCAAAACATCACAGCCTACATTGATAAGTCAATGCCAAATAATCTGTGTCATCTTGTGTATTTAAGCCATGTGAGGAATTCTAGCCTGACCACATGCATGCTTTTGACAGTGTAAAAGATGACGTCAAGAAATGGAAATGTGTCACACCTTCATACATTCTTTACATTCTCTACATTTCTATTGTATAGTTCAAACATACCTGCTTGATGATTAAAATTTTTGCCAGAGATGTAAAACTATTGATCAATTCCACTTTTTAAATGCAATTTAAAATTAAATGCATCTATTAATAATTTTTAGACATATAGCAGACTATTTTGTTTTTCTTGCATTTATTTATATATTTGATCATGTCATATTCAATATTTACATTTGTTTTATCATTCAGTATATAATACTAAATTAACATATAAATCTTATGTGGTATGTGATTGACTTCCCTCATCAAGAAACAACACTATTGATTTTTTGACATTGTTCAATGCAACCAGTGGGGAACAAGCCTGCGTGTCACCAATTAATTTACATGTGTTAAACTTCTATTTGAGGTTATGTCATATGGAGCTTTCTCAAGTCTCTAAAGATGCTGTTTAGCAAGACTTCTTTATATCAGACAAGGCAGACTTATTTCCGAGTATCTTTCGGCTTGCCTCGCCTTCGAAGCAAGCTATGAAGAGAAACCCACCGTTGTGTCTCTGCCCGCAGGAGAGCTGTGCGCAGTGAAGGAGGTGTGTCTGTGGGTGTGTTCGTGTTACACTACCTACCTCGCTACGAAAAACAAACAAAACCAAAACATAGTGTAATACAAAAATTAAGCTACTGCGCTTCTATTAATTAAACGCTGTTTATTTATTTATTTATTTTTGTTTACACAAATGATTTTATGTACTAAGCTAATTTAAATTATTTCATTTATAACGTTATTTTTCGTGTAACACAATATATACTCTATAGATGCTACATCATTTTCAAATATGTGATCTGATATTAATTGTTCTCATTACCATTTTGAACACAAATATTCAGACAAAGGAAGAGTCTGTGCTGCAGTCTGATGACCTTTGAAGTCCACTACATTCCACATTGACTTAATCGACAAATAAATGATGTGTGTGGGTTTTTTTTGCCTACAGAAATTGTGGATGGAAACGCTAAGATGACACTGGGAATGATCTGGACCATCATCCTCCGCTTTGCCATCCAGGACATCTCTGTTGAAGGTTTTCTCGAAACATTTCCACTATGAACACCAATTGATATTCACATGAGTAATTTAGAAAATTTCTTGTTTCACGAGATACAAGACAAAATAAAATGTCTTATCATGCACCAGGAAAAAAAAAAAAAAAGATGTGCTGTGTTGTATTTCAACATAAAATCGCACGTTTCTGCTTTCATCTGATGGCTGGTTAAAATGGTTCAGGTCTCATATGATATTTCCAAACCATTTGTTCCCATCAAGAGAAAGTTAATCCTCTGCTTCTTCTTCTGTCTTATCATCCTCACAGAGACGTCGGCTAAGGAGGGTCTTCTGTTGTGGTGCCAGAGGAAGACCGCTCCCTACAAGAATGTCAATGTGCAGAACTTCCACATTAGGTAACACACGGACACACACACACACACACACACACACACACACACACACAGTGCAAAATAAACTGGGCTGCTGAACACAAGCACAGCTGGTATTCAAGTAGTGTATTTTTCTCTTTGATCCCACATTCTTTTTCTTATTCAAATCTGTAACAAGAACTCCCTCTGGTGGAAATGTTTGCACAATGGGACAGAAAAACATTTCTATTATGGGGATATGTTGTTGCAGATCCTTACTAGATGGAAATCTGCGACATCAAGAAAAATGTTTCAGTTTTTCCCCTAGTGCACGTCTTAAAAACATTTAAATGTATGAAAATACAATTTGTAAAGTACTTTTCAGGACCTTTTCTCACTCATGTTGCTGTGCTCTCCAGAAATGGCAGCCTATTTTTAAACATTACATGAAGGGAACAAAAAGAAGATTCTCTGGCTCGCACAGTTCTGCAAAATAAAAGGCAATGTGTGCTAGCTTCAATCTGTGCGTCACTCTCAGTTGTAGTTTACTGTAAACTAGACTCATAAAAGAGAATTTAACGATATATTTCAAACTCAAAATGTTCAAACGTTCTCGTCTGTTTGTTTAATACGAACATATACAGTACATAAATATACAGGGAGAAAAATGTAACCCATTGAAATTCTTCAATAAATGCTCTGTGGAAATTCAGCCAATAAATATTTTCAGTGAAAAACAGGGATTGGTGTCCCCCAAATAAAAAACAAATGACCCCAAAAAAATAAGACTTCAAATCGGTGATTCGTCGGGTTCCAAACATGAATATGCAGTGAAAATTAGCATAGATGTTAGAAACATTTAAGCAACTGCGACTTTAACTAACATAGAGCAGCAACAAAAAATGAAGACAGCACACAGCAATCCTCGCAAGCACATATTCTCGCTGCTCTGTGGGACCAATGACTGTTATGGAAACTGGAGTTTACTTGAAGATCTTCTCTACCTCTTCTTTTTGCTCTTAATTATGCTGAATTTTTGGTACTTAACTGACGGCGCGCAACTCTGAAATCAGACTTGTCTGCATACAGTAAAAATCTATGAAAATAATCGTAAGAATCCCGCGACATAGTGGGGGGCACTAAAGTTCACTATATTGAATCACATGGATTCGACAGAGTGTCATACTGGTAGCAGGTGTTACAAATGGCTGTCCTCAAACTCAGTGTTTCGCCACCTTTGAGCCAAGGCTCATATTTTACTTTGGAAAAAGCTCACGACAGACACCCAAAAAAAAAAAAAAAAATTCTAAAAAGTCTACACTGAAATAATGAGATTAACGGGTCTCTGTATATCGTTTGCACACTTGGATGGCCAAAGATGCATTTAAATAAAGGATTTTTGGACCAATTAAATGAAATGGGATCATTTCCCCAGCACACTTGATAATCTCTTGCAGGACACTGGTTGGGAATCAGTTCTCTAATGTTCGTTACCATCATCTAAGTGTGTTGCAACATAGTGACACACATTGTGGTACTAGTGTAACTGGTGTGTGTGTGTGCGTGTTGCAGCTGGAAGGACGGCCTCGCCTTCAACGCTCTGATCCACAGACACAGACCAGAGCTCATTGACTACGACAAGCTCAGAAAGGTGACCGACACCGTGTGTGAACCATCTCTACCAAAGTGGAGAGATGTCAAGTATAGACTAATAATGAACATTGTCCTGAAATTCATTCAGCAGGATTGCAAACGCGTTGCTGGTTGTCTAACTTTAGCTCTTTGCTTTGTGACTATCCGTCTGTGACTGATAACGTAGGATGACGCAGTGACCAATCTGAACAATGCCTTCGAGGTGGCCGAGAAGTACTTGGACATCCCCAAAATGTTGGACGCAGAAGGTATACCTCATTTGTGTCCATCTATGTGTTAGTTGTTTGTGTTCGGCGTTCCTATACAGATGGTTAATACTTTTTTTTTATTGACTGTCTTCTTATTGCTATGTTGTTCTGTATTACTGAAATATACGTAACTAAAGAGTGCTTTGACAGCGAAGCTTGGTACAGGCTTTCAAAGTAGGGTTTCAAGCCAGGGTTAGGGTTTCAAATGATGGATTTCAAACTGTTAGGATTTCACATAAGGGTTAGGGTTTCATAGTAGAGTTTCAAACCTTATTTTTGGGGTTTATCTCAGGGGATAAATACCGGCTACGGTTTCAGACTCAGTTGTCAAGTTGGGGTTTCAAATTTAATTCTTCAAGCCAGGGTTAAGGTTCAAAACAAGGGTTGGAGTTTATAGTAGGTTTGTATTTTCAAGGCGGGATTTCAAGCAAGTGTTGGGGTCTCAAACAAGGGTTTTTTCACGCCTGGTTGAGCTTTCAAAATATGATTTCAAAAGGCCATCAGAGTGTTAGGTTCGTGTTTCAGCATAGGTTTTCAAACCTGGGTTGGGGCTTTATTTTTAAGGTTTCAATCCAGAGTGAGGGTGTTGCTCTTGGTTTCGGGTCTGAAAATATGGTTTCAAGATGGGTTTACGGTTGATGATACAAGCCAGGGTTAGGGTTTCAGAGTGGGTGGTTAATGACAAAGAGCGTTCATACCAGCAGTATCCATCTCTAGCATGCTTTTTTTGTGTACACATCATTTGTTATCAACATAATAATGTATCTATTTTGCTGCCTGTGCATTATGTTGTCCATCATTCTGGTCTCCTGTGCGAGCATGCGTGTACGTGTGTCATACATGTGCGTCCATGTTTAATCACGTCTTCATAACCTCCCCTTCAATAGACATTGTGAACACTGCTCGTCCAGATGAGAAAGCCATAATGACTTATGTGTCCAGTTTCTACCATGCCTTCTCTGGAGCTCAGAAGGTACCCCATGTCAACAGCCCCTTTGTCACCCCCCTGCCCCCAACTCCTTTTAAAACAAATGTTTCTTTATTTATATATATTATACTAACAAGCGCCCCGCTACCGCTCCCCCTCATCTGGCATGGCCTCGCTTTCTTTCACAGCTCTCTCAGTTCCGGCCCCGCATAGCAAAAGGATGTGTTGGGACACAAATGAGCAGCAATCTCTATCCTACAGTCAATGGAAGTCACCTGGTGAAAGTGCAATAACAAGTAGAAACATTTTTATAAAAGTTCCTTAAGAGGGGGGAGGAAACGTAGATGAGGTCAAGAATCTTGACTTTTAGTTTTTATTTTAGTCATAATTTGCGAGCACTTTCACCTGTATGGGTTTCATGAGTAAATGCATAGATTGTTGCATTTGTGTCCAAATGTGAGCTGTGACACTCCATCGGTGAATTAGCGTCACTTTCAGGTGGAGCCGCAGCCGTCCTCCCCGTCCATTCCAAAGTTGCTTTGGGGTTGCTTGGGCTTCACTCTCTGTTCTTATTCTCTCTCTTTTTATTTCATCCTTTGCTTCGGCTGTCGGGCAGACATCGTGGGCACGCTGAGGCCTGACGAGAAGGCCATTATGACCTATGTGTCCTGCTTCTATCACGCCTTCTCTGGCGCGCAGAAGGTACATGCATTCAACACGCCCTAAAACTGAGAGTTCCCATCATATACAGTGTACGTGCACAGTGATGACTCGCATATTCACAGTTGGGCATTTACGAATTCAGTTGTTTTATTTTTTGTGGGGGGTATGAAACCTAGCTTCTGTTATTTGATGAAATTTTTGCATATTCGCAGTTTTTGTGCTCAGGCCAAAGTAATAAAATTATCACTTTTGTGCCATTGGTGGAATCTTGGTGTCGTTGTTAGGGTTAATTCATGATACTTTTTAATTTATTCATTTGGTTTGTTTTTGAGATATCCTATTTTGTGGCAGCCCTTGAATGCACATCAAAATTGAAAGTGAAAGTATTTTTCTGCTTCTCTCCGGATGCAGCTACTTACCGTAATTTCCGGACTATAGAGCGCACCTGATTATAAGCCGCACCCACTACATTTTTAAAGGAAAAACCATTTTGTACACACACAAGCTGCGTCTGTCTATAAGCCGCAGGTGCCCATATTATAACATGAGATATTTGCAAGGAAAGAATAGCAACCCGATGAAAAGGAAGCTATGTACATATATTTTCGCTTTGATATTGGCTTAACTGAAATAGCGAGTTTCGGTGTCTTGATGGGAACTCTCCAAACAGGCTTCACTGCTTTAAAATGCTGACTCTGTTTCTCTAAAAAGAGAAAAAAAAATCTCTGTCCACCCTTACCTTCCTAAAGTCACATTTACAGCGTTGTCACAGTTGCCTTTGTTTCGTTTTTTTTTTTTTTTTTGGGAACATCCAATGATGTGAATCAGTCATTATCATAGCAATCCATTTTTGTGAATTGCTGAAAAATCTGAATATAGGTACCTTTACACCCCTTGCGCTGTATATCCAATTTGCCTCCTAGTTTCTTAAGAGACAGAAAACTTTAGTGTGTGACTTTGGGAAGTGTTGATTTCTTTTCGAAACATGAGTCAATAGCTTTCCACTTTGTCTCAGTTGCTGTTTTAATTCCACAATTCCACATATCTTATTATTGTCTGTGTATTATCCATTTTTTTTTTCTTACGTTAAAATCATTTTGTTACTGAAAACCTTAAAACTAATTCAAAAATTGATTCAGCATTCAGTGTTGAATTCACTTGCCAAATGTGTTGTTTTTGTATTCCTGCAGTCCAGTAGTTAATGTCGTAGGACCCGCTGGACTTCAGCACCATTTGAACCTGATATACTTGATGTATGGACCCACTTGAGACGCATGGTGTTTTTTTATAAGCACAGTGTGTGTGATTGAGGCACATGAAACTAACTGCCAGCAGCTTCTTGCATGTTGTAACCATCCAAACGATGCTGCTGTTTTTTTATTTTTTTTTAAATACACGGCCGTTTGTTTCCACACTTTTCCCCCCTAAAACACGTGTGAATTTTTTTTTTTTTTTGCAATGAAATTTAGAACCCAATCATTGCTCGTGTGTGTTCACGCCAATGACTTGACACATCTGAGCACGTTTTTTTTTTAAAAAAGGGCCACAAAATTTTTTTCATGAGGTAAAAGGAAAAAAAAAACTAACATATGAGCTTAGTGTAATGAGAAAATCATTATCATAGTAGAACTCATTATACTTTAAAAAAAATGAAAGTAATACGTTTAACACAATTACATTTGTCAGTAGCATTTTAATCCATTTGTAACTATTATTACTATATCAGTGTAATAAGGCATTTTACATATAGATTTCAAACATAATTATTGTATTGAATAAAATGTTTACCAAACAAATGGTAAAATAAACAATTTTACAAAACCATTTAATGTATGCTTTGGTAAAATAGGTAAATACTTAATGCATGTGTTTAATTGCACATGCAAGTTGAACTTTTAGTGATTTTATTGTGTAAAATAGTTTGTTTTACTAATATGTTAATTTTAAAATAAATTAATTTGTGAAAGTATTAGTATTTACAACTTAAAATTGTATTTTTTGTAATTTATGACAATTGAATTGATTTAAAATGTTATTAAATTATACATTTTAAAATTGTATTCACAAAAACTCAATTGAGCAGTTATGTAATTAGATCAATGAATTTAAAAAATGCATGAACTAAAAAAAAAAAAAAAAAACAATTGCATTTAACCAATTGCATTGGGAATCAGCTACAGTAATGCCTGGCTAGGTATTGCTAGCATCTCTCACCGGCTTGTGTTTGCTCTTCATAGGCTGAGACCGCTGCCAATCGAATCTGCAAAGTACTGGCGGTCAACCAGGAGAACGAGCACTTGATGCAGGAGTACGAGAAACTGGCCAGTGATGTACGTACAAACAAGACATGACTCGCTAGTCCTACATTATTCCTGTTGATGATTCCATCCTCCCCTCGCACAGCTGCTGGAGTGGATCCGTCGCACCATTCCCTGGCTGGAGAACAGAAATCCGGAGAAGACCATGTCTGAGATGCAGCAGAAGCTGGAAGACTTCCGGGACTACCGCCGCGTCCACAAGCCACCAAAGGTTCTTCTCCATTTCCCTGTGGAGCTAACTTGTTAAATGATATACTGTGTAGCTACCGTGCTCTTTTCTCGACCACATGGAGTCACTGCTTCCTATCACTGAAAACTCCTGGCACCACAGAATAAGCGATCAAAACACACACCACACAACTCTAATTGCTCAGGATAATCTTTTTTTAATCACCTTTAACGTACCTCTACACCACAGGATTTTTTTTTTCATCTTAAAAACAAAATGCAGTATATAATTAAGGATATTTTCCCCCCTACAGGATAATTGCTAATTGTTTTTTTCTTTTTTATCCTAACACCACAGGATAGTTTTATTTTAAAAATCACTCAACACACCGCATCCGCACATCACATTAGATATTTTTTAAAAATAACTGAACACATATTACTTCACTCAATAATCTTTTTTTCTTCACTCCTAACAAACCTCACACCACAGATTAATTAATCACTCAAGCGCCCAAATAGTATCAACTATGTGAAAATGATCGATTTCCTTATATTTGATTCATACACCAGAAAAAAATGAGTAAATACCTTCATCATCCCTTCAAAACATACTTTTCTTTCGAGGGTGGCGCGATAAAAGTGGATGAAACGAAATGGCTACTAGGAAAACCTTATCGTGTGTGGTATCAATGGAAAGACTGGGGCTTTCTGCAGCCTCTGATTTAATTTAAATCTACATCATTATAAGACAAGAAGCTACAATACAATTCCTTGTGATGTAAACAAAACATACTTGTTGCTAGACTAACGCCAGAAGACTGCTACCGATTGGTCAGAATTACTTTGAAATCATGCGACACTTTCAGGGACAAAATGGATTCCAAAATAAAATACTGATTACAAAGTTTTACAAGTGAAATGTAAAAATTTGCTTTATTAAAGTTTCTGTTGGGATATCAGTATAAAAATTTGCAGTCGTAAAGGTTGTGTTATGGGAAATAAGCAGTTTTAATTCCATTCCTGTCTAATAAGTGCTAGTATGCATTGCTAAGAAATTATTTCGTCAAATTTGATCGGGATTATCTCCATTCTCCAGGAACTGCATTCCTGATCTTCATATCCATACATCTTCAATAAATATTACCCCAATCTATATGTTATGTAGCCTGCCGATGTTATGTAATGGCCATGTAGCACTTTATTTTTTGTTAGTTTTTTTGGGGGGTTTTTTTTTTTGCTTTGATGCTTTGTGTAATTCTTTAATGTGCTTTAAATATGACTTTGGATTCTGCAAGTCCACCTCTTCACTTTAGTGCTACCAGTTACTTGGTTCATATTTGCGTTCTTACCACTAAGAAATACAAATGTTGGTCCCGCAGGTCCAGGAGAAATGTCAGTTGGAGATCAACTTCAACACGCTACAGACCAAACTCAGACTCGGTGGCAGACCTGCCTTCATGCCGTCAGAGGGACACATGGTGGCTGTAAGTACACACATTCAAATCACAAAACCTTGATGTCGTGTACTGGGAATTTTTGATGATTACTTCTCTGTCCCTCATATTCAGGATATCAACAGGGCATGGCACTGTCTGGAGGGTGCAGAGAAGGGTTATGAGGAGTGGCTCCTCAATGAGATCAGACGTCTGGAGAGATTAGACCACCTGGCTGAAAAGTTCCGCCAGAAGGCCTCCATCCACGAATCCTGGACCAGCGGTAAATCCAAAGACTACTCTTGGCCCCTACAAGGAATGACCAAAGCAAAACAGTACCTGTTCATTCTGAGTCAAAGCAACAGTTGGCACTGTTATCGCTGACTCACATGCCAATTTAACCAACTGAAAAACAGAAATCAAGTCGAGTAATTATCGGACGTACTGTGTACAACACAACACTACAAACAATTGGATGTGTTAGTCTACAAACTAGTTTAACAGAAATTCTTGAGTTCACGTTGTGTATGATGTATAGGCAAGGAAGCCATGCTGACTCAGAGAGACTATGAGACGGCCTCGCTGTCTGAAGTAAAGGCGCTGCTCCGCAAACACGAGGCCTTCGACAGCGACCTGGCCGCCCATCAGGACCGAGTGGAGCAGATCGCTGCCATCGCGCAGGAACTCAAGTATGTGAAGGAGGCATTTTAGATTTGCTGATTGAATGTTTTCTTCAAACTTTTTTACATCTATAAATGTTACTCTATTATACATCCTAGTTGTTCAATTTGTTGTTCAATTCAAAAAGTGTAACTGGTATATTATTCAGGTTCCTTAAACACATAATGTAGGAAGATACTTTGCGGAAGGCCTGTTGCTCCTTCATTTCTGTCCTAGAAATAATTTGGATTCTTTTGTCATATTCTTGAGGTGGAGCATTTGACGTTTTAATTAGCTCTAAGCTAGAAGCATTAACATTATAAACAAAAAATAAAAAATTACGTTAAGGCCATAGCTCTCAGCCCTCCAATCTAATATGCTTTGGTTTTCGTCACATTAAGCATCCCATGTTGTCTTGCAGTGAGCTGGACTACTATGATGCCCCCAATGTCAATGCTCGCTGTGAGAAAATCTGCATGCAGTGGGACAGTCTTGGAGAACTCACCCAGAGGCGCAGGGACTCACTTCAGGTTTGAGAGCTCTGACGTGGTCACCAGAGTCTATACAGTACTTGAAGACCCTCTTGGACTCACACGTTTACTCGTCCACCCCCTCAGAAAACTGAGAAACTGCTGGAGTCCATCGATGAGCTTTACCTGGAGTATGCCAAACGGGCAGCACCCTTCAACAACTGGATGGAGGGGGCCATGGAGGACCTACAGGACATGTTTATTGTCCACAACATTGAAGAGATCCAGGTACATGTCCGGAACTCGACAGAGAGAACAAAACACCGAGCAGATGATAAAATAATCGATCTTTTGCTCCCTCAGAGCCTGATACGTGCCCACGAGCAGTTCAAGTCTACCCTGCCTGAAGCCAACAAGGAGCGCGAGGCCATCCAGGCCATCCACAGTGAGGTCCAGAAGATCGCCCAGCACAATGGCATCAAGCTGAGTGGAACCAACCAGTACACCACCATCACGCCACAGAGCATTGACAGCAAGTGGGATCAGGTCAAGTGTGTTCAGTATATGATGCCATCCCATAGATTACGAACTGCCATGATTGACAGACAAAGTGAATTGTGTGAGATTCTCCACACTGGTTAAGTTACTGTGTCAATCATAATTGAGAAACTTGAGAACAGCGGCTTTCGCCACCTCAACAAGAATAAGTAGGGAGGGATTTACGTGTCTGTATATACCAGCTAGTGTAAAGTATGCATTGATATAAGAGGCAAACACGAGTCAGTATTATAGGTAAATACATATCGAAACCAGGTGTCAATGTGTTATCAATTGATACAGGGTGAAAACCTGCTAGTATATACATTGATATCAGGTGAAAACATGTAAAGCTGATTTATGCACGTGTTAATACAGGTGTAAAACCCCAACTCGAAGTTTTCTGCTATGAAGTCATGCTCAAGTGTTTATTAACGTGTCTGTGTGTCTGTAGGCGGAGAAACTGGTACCTCAGCGTGACCGGGCCCTGCAGGAGGAGCTTCGCAAGCAGCAGTCCAACGACGAGCTGAGACGCAACTTTGCCGAGCAAGCCAACGTGGTCGGACCCTGGATACAAAACAAGATGGAGGTACTGAAACACGTTAGCTCATCACTCAGAATTGTTGCCGGGTAGCGTTTGCTAATTTGATGAATGGAAATGTTTGGCGGGCAGGAAATTGGCACGATATCCATCGAGATGATCGGCACTCTGGAGGACCAACTGACCAACCTGAAAGAGTACGAGCGCAGCATCGTTGACTACAAGCCCAACATCGACCAGTTGGAGGGTGTCCACAAGCTCATCCAGGAGGCCCTCATCTTTGACAATACATACACACCCTACTCCATGGAGGTAGTAACACAGCCTTTTGTGGGTCTGAAACTCTTCAAGACGTTTTTTTTTAACCCGTGCGTCCTCCGGCAGCACATCCGCGTGGGTTGGGAGCAGCTGCTCACCACCATCGCCAGAACGATCAACGAGATTGAGAACCAGATCCTGACACGTGATGCCAAGGGAATCAGCCAGGAGGAGCTGTACGAGTACCGTGCCTCCTTCAACCACTTTGACAAGGTCAGGCATGCAAACTCAAGCCTCACAGCTTCACTGACTTTACCTACATTCTTCCAAATCAGTTTGTGTCTGTTATTTGTGTTGTAAACGGCCACCTGGCATCATTGAAATGAACAGGAGTAGATCCAAAAAAGGTAAGGGCACAGGCATGCCCACTCATTAATTAAAGCGCCTCTGACAGTGGTTCAGGATACTCCCAAGTAATCCACAACCAAAAAAGTCCATGGAACACAGTGACACACAATGTAAGTGTCACAACTGTGATTGCTTCTCTCGCCAGTTATTCACAATGACCACACCACCTTGTTCAATAGAAATAAACGACTAGTAATAATACACACTGTTAGGACAAGTTTCTGACAGTCGCGTGATATTCATGTGCATGCACATGTTCAGACCATAAGAGGAGCCAAGCGAGTGAGTATAACATGTTCATTTTTGGTGGGTATCGCTCAGAAGGACAGTCAATGTTTTACTATGAATATTTCCACACTTTCCGGAGATGTGCAACAACATTCTGAGGTTTTATGGTTGGAATTGATTATTTTGCTCACAACCGAATGAGGAATCACCACTAGTGGTCCCTGTTTGACTGTAAACGATGCACACGGGGTGTCACTCTTCCATCCACAATGTCTGTCTTTTGTTTTGTGTCACTATCACATCGCATGTCGTTATTAGTCCTTCAGATGGTAAAAAAAATATATACTGATATCACAACATGCATTTCAGCACCATATGTGATTCTATGGAAACATTTGTTTAAACAACCATCCTTGTCTGTCTCCCATGTTTCCCATCGTCCCTCCCGCATGGTCCATCCCACCGCACATCTCCCCTCACCCCATGGTTGCGAATTGGTTGGGTCCTGGTGCGTGACGTGGTGCTTTGTCATTGGCTGTCAATGGCTCGCCCCAGGACCACAGCGGGGCCCTAATGGCCGAGGAGTTCAAGGCCTGTTTGATCAGTTTGGGCTACGACGTGGAGAACAACAAGCAGGTAGGAACCCCCTCTACCGGAGGGGGAAATAGTCCGGGGGGAGGCCACATGGAAGTCAGGAAAGCCAACATCACTAACGATCAAACTGACAATTTTAGTTTGACGTGTCATTACATTTGGTTCATCAAACCCCTAGAATACTAGCAACACCTTGTGGTCTCAGTGTGTAGCTACGGAGCCACACACAAGTCTTTAGTCACGCCTTTGTGAGTCGTGTAGGGCAGGACTGTAGCAAAAGTCACACATGAGGATACGGCCAAACAAGAGGCTCGGTGTCTACACACTTGCGCATACAAATCAGTAGATACATTTGCAGTTTAAGGTGGCACGTTTGTGACGTGAGTCACGCATTTGTATATTCATGTTACACGTTTGTGACGGGGGATACAGATCCGGATCCTTTTTACATATTTGTGGATTGAAATACACATTTGTGGCTCCAATAATGCCCCCCAAACAAATGCATTGATACTCTTCGTATATGTGCAGTTAGAAAAGAAGAAGGGGAAAAAAAAAAACTATACGTGTCTCACATTGGAGAAATTAGCAATTTACAGCAGCAAAAATCATGAAAAGGAGAAAGAAAAAAGTATTTTCATGCACAAAAAAAACAGTTGAAAAAACAATTTAAAAGAAAAAGTGTATCGGCAGCTTAGTCATGCCTAATTGAAATCTTGCCCAAAGAGATCATTATATCGGAACAAGGTTCTGAGTGGTCAGTGCCTAGTTGGCTTTCCTGCTCTGAGGCTCCTCAGGATGAAGGCCATCAAGCTTGGAGATGTCGCGTCCCCGTTTGTCCACCAGGGTTCTCTGTTGCTTTGTACAGGTGTCGTCTTGGGTTGCTCCCGTCAGTGTTCATGTTGCTCTCAACATTGACTCTTTGTGCTTTTTATCCTTGATTCCCCTTTACTCTTTTTCTTCATCTATCTTACCATTTCTGTCGCTTCTCTACTATAAATTTCCCGCCCCGCTGGCCCCCCACAGAAGCGATCAGGACAGATGGTGGCAGAGGATTACCGGGCTCTGCTCATTTCTACGGGAAACAGCCTGGTACTGATGCCAATGTTGGCTTTAGCGCCCCTCTCTTCGGGGTGTCTGCAGGTCCAATAACTGGAGTACTAAAACAGAATAACAATATGATGGTTAACTTTAAGTACCATATTTTTCCAAATGTACCTTGTACCATCTCATGCAAATTGTCTCTATTAATATTATCATTATTATCACTAAATTTGTCCCAAATTATACTTTTTTTATATGGCTGTAAATTAGCAGTGGTTCAACTCAAGTAAAGAACTAAAATATTATGCTCTTTAGTATTAAGACAATTTGAAAAATCAAATCTCTTTCAGCCTATACCGATCAGCTGAAAATTACGTGATCCGATTTCCAATCATGTCGATCGAATTGTGGCAACCCAATAGCAGATGTAAACACACAATTAGCAGCGGGAGTAAACAGACTTATAAATACCGTAGTTGTAAATGCACTGATACCAGATGTAAACGTAAGTAGGTTTAGTAAAATATCAAGAATCGGTATGGAGAATCGTTATTTATTTATTTAGTTATTTATTTGTTTGTTTGGGTGTAAATGCACCCATTTCCACATGTAAACATGTAAAAATGACTCATATACTGGTGTCAACGTGTGTGTATATTATAAGTGTATATGTGTTAGTGCTGCTTATTGCAGGCATTCACCTGCAGGCACCTCGCTGTCTTTTCTCACCCTGCTCATCGTTTTCTGTTTCTAGCAGAGTGAACATTAAAGCATTTGTCTTGTACGTGCCTGCAAACGTTGCATGCCTGTTGTGTCGTGCTCTCACGCTGAGTTTCTCCAGCAGTTTTCATCTTGATGTGTTTGTGTCGTGTTAAGTGTCTTCCAGGTTAACCTCTTTTTTTTGTGGTCCGCCAGGGCGACGCGGAGTTTGCCCGCATCATGGGCATCGTGGACCCCAACAACACAGGCACCGTCACCTTCCAGGCCTTCATTGACTTCATGTCTCGGGAAACAACAGACACGGACACCGCAGACCAGGTCATCGCCTCCTTCAAGATACTGGCCGCGGATAAGGTGAGATTGAAACCTGAAGTCCCCGGAGACAATTTCCATGACATTTGTTAGTCTATCGCCATATTAGGGTTCTTTTTTTTTCCCGGTGCTGTCACTGTATTTCTCATTCACAGATTTTTTAAATTCTACATACTGTAGCTTTCTCTCTCTCTCTCTCTCTCTCTCTCTCTCTCTCTCTCTCTCTCTCTCTACACACACACACACACACTTTTTTTTTTTACTGGATTCATTTATTCACTCATATATTATGGCAGACTCAGTATAGAAATAAGCGCAAGCCTGGAGGAAATAGAAATAAATGAGAGAATGTCCAAAGTTTGGGATGATTTCACACACAAAAAAAGATTACCCACTCACTGCAAAGCAGAACTGTCTCACACTGCCGCACAATTATGATGAACATCGTGATCTAATATGATACCGCCTAGCGCCGTGAGTGAGAAGGAATTGAAGACAAATAAAGACGCAGCCGCTGGTGCGCTTTCAATCACTTTATTGAACAAACAGTAACAAAATAAAGAAGCACAGTCGTACACCAGATGCAGCGGCTTAGACTGGCAAGCAGGGACTCAACGTGCGCAGGTTAACGGCCAACTACATTCTCATCCGCGAAAGGCAACCATCACTCGCCAGGCGTCACTTTGTGAGGCCACAAACATTTCAAATCACAGATGTTATGAGGATGGTGAACTCAGGTGGGCAAAAATAATACCTGCACCTGGCTTGCATATCATGGATTGGTATTTGACACAAAGCTTTGAAATTTATAGAAAAGATTAAGTAAATATGTCATTACTACTTCTTTGTGTATTTTTGACTATTGTTGGGGGTGGGGAACATATCCGCTGTCATAAATCTCTGTGAACATTTTCAATGGTTGTTCCAAGACTGACTCCACCCAGAGGTTTAGTCTGCCGCCAAATTTGAACCGCACTTACCAGACAGATGGACAGTGAGAAATTGTGCAGGTCCGCTCTCTGCTTTCAACCGTAATATTTCTGCTCCCGTCAGAACTTCATCACTGCCGACGAGCTAAGGCGGGAGCTGCCGCCTGACCAGGCTGAGTACTGCATCGCCAGGATGGCGCCCTACTCGGGGCCCGACGCCGTCCCAGGCGCCCTCGACTACATGTCCTTCTCCACCGCCCTGTACGGCGAGAGTGACCTGTAAAGGCCGAGTGGGGACGGAATACGGAGGGGCATCGGGGGAAATCGAAGGGGGGAGTCAGGAATTAAGTTGACTGTGAGGTGCCCCCACCCCCACGTGTGCCGATTTGAAAGTCTTTGAGTGTGTCGAGTGAAGTGTAGTTGATGGAAAGCCTTTTATTCGATATCCTTGGGCTCCAGCCGAAGGTCCATTTACTAATACACTCTTTGTCCTCTCTAGTAAGACTATGCATTGCGCTCGTACAATGAGTGTGTATCTTTTTTTTTTTTTTTTTTTTTTTTTTTTTTTTTTTTTTTTCTTCACGGCATTGCCACTTTGGGCCCTCGAGTACTCAAACCCTGAAAGTAAATCATGGAAAGCCGTGAAGCTTTCCTTCAGTGTTTTTTATCTATCTAAAGGTTCATTTACTAGTACGCTCTTTGTAAGTGCACTAGTAGAAGGCCCTGGAACACCATTAAGAAGACTGTGTCTTATAAGTATCGTCCCCCCACAACTACTGTATAGACAATTTTGCTACATTAGACCTTACTACCGGTAGTAAATAATGATCAGTCATTTAGTCGATATCCTTGCAATCCACCGCGAAGGTGTGCGAACGAGTAAAACAATTCAAGGCACAAGTACAACATCTCGGGCACAATTGTGGAATAACTGCCTTTTTATTGTTTTTGGTTTTTTTTCATTACTACTAGAGCCATATTTGGCCCACTAGTAAACAATTAAGCCTTACTAGTAAGCAGTGTGTTTGTGTTTATTCGATAGCCTTGATCATCTAGCTTGAAGCCCATGGTCGAGTTAAGCAATTCAGGGCACTAGTAGTATGACAGTCTTACTGGTAATGTTTTTTTTTTTTTCCACGAGTAGGAAAGCATTGGCATACCGGTAGTATCGCCACGTTACTTATGAGGCAAAAAAAAAATGCACATCATGTTGCTGTACTATTATGTTAAAAGTTGCCGTACGAGTGTGTCATTCAAATCGTCTTGCTAGTCAGGACAATATGCATACTAGTCGATGGCCCTTGAAAGCCATTTGAGCATTTATTTATGTCTCCTTGGAAAAAAAAAAAACAACCCCACCCCCCAAAAATTTCACTCTCAAGTCGTTCTACTAGTGTGTGCTGAATGGTCTTACTAATGAGGACAGAGCTAGTACTTGGACCTTCAGCTGGATATCAAGGATATGGAACAAACGCTCCATCGGCTTCTCATAGTAGTTAGACTTCCTTCCTTGATGTTTAGGGGTTGGGGGGAAGTGCGCTTGTTAACTTCACCCACTCTGCCTTTTTTTTTTTGAGGGGGGGGGCGACAAAGAAGGGAGGAGAGCTAATCTTGATACTTATGCTAAATTTATTTTATTACGATTTTGGCGAGGGGGTACTTGGGTTCCGAAGGGGAGGGGGGGGGGTCACTTGATTGCCGATGTTTGTGTATTAGATCAGAGTTATATGCTGAGGCGTCCGGAATGGCTAGGAGAGAAGGGGCGGAATTTAGGGGGGGATGTCGATCAACCAGAAATGAAACCACATATTTACCCAGAATGCCCTTTGTTGCTGGATAAGGTGACCAATCATTTTTCCCTTTTTTTTTCTTGATTTGCCAGAGTGAGTGCAGGGTGCTGTCAGGAATATTTGCTTTTCTTCCTTTGCACGACGAGTAATAGCAAAAAAAAAAGGGGGGGGGGGTAGGTTTTGCCCCAATCAGTAATTGCCGCTATTATCGTTTTCGCCAATCCATGCACAATGTTGCAGAGTTTCTTCCTGGTCTGTGTCCTCAGCACCATCGTCTCTTTTCCGTGCTTTCCACTTTCTCTCATCTCTCCATTCTCACCCGTCTTCAATTATAACAAAAATTGACCAAAAGGAAAGAAAAAAAAATCTATGCAATACTAATGAGATGATTTGGGGGAGGGGGTGTCTAAATTGATGGCATTTTTTTTTTCTTGCTTTTTTGTTTTTTCCCAAAACAGGGGCACATATTAGGGGAGGGTAAAGACAGCAAGTCGCGTGCAAAAAGACTCCAGGACCAAAAGCTTCTCTCTCTCCTTGCTTTTTTCTTTGCTTTTTTTCCACCTGGCAGGAGAGAAATGAACTCTGGAAATTGTGATTTTTTTTTTCACTTTTTTTTGTACTCTTCAATAATAAGGAACCTTATCTGCTGTACTGGAAACTGCAAAAAGGCTTTTTTTCCCCCCTGTCTAACCATGATGATGATGAGTGACGCTCACCAAGCACACATAAAGTTTCCTTACAAAAAATGAATCTGGATTTCATGTCTTCTTTTTTATTCTCTCACAAACACACACACACAGCTTCCATTTAGTCATCAGTCTCTTGTATACTGTGTGTGCTTCATGCTTGCTACGATACTTCACATACATCCCCCAAAATGCACTAAAACCACCTTTTTGCCGAAAGATCTTAGTTTTTCCTGGAACAAAAAAACATCACAAATAATTTAGTGTCATTTTGTTTAGATTGTACAAGATTTGATCCAGCGAATCAATAAACGAATGAATAATTGTATTTTAGTATTATTAGTTGACTGTAACCAAGCATTTTATGAGCATTTGAAAATCTTTAACCATTAATACCTGCACCAATTCCCCACTAAACACACACAAAGCCAATCTCAGCACCCCAAGACAGATTGTCCAAAAGCATTTATACCTTTCCTAATAATTCTCCCAAGTTTTATGGAGGTGCACACCGGTGTGGGCCTGGTATAGATTCTTTAAAATGATATTGACATGAATTATAGATGGGTTTGGATGAATGGCATCGTAAAGCACATTGCAGTCTGGGAATGATCTATAATTCATACAAAGCATTTTCTCTCTCCTCTTGCGCCATCCCTTGAGATGTCCCCAAATGTGGATTTAGAACATTGTATGCGTATTTATCGTACTTTTTTCACAGTTTAAAGATAATGGCTCATTTTGACAATGCAACCATCTGTACCAGTGGTGCTCAGATTGATTGGCCGCAGATGGTGATCGGCTGATTTCCGTGGAAAAGTACAGGATCGGCATATGTCGATCAATGCCTTTCATTGCTGATCACAAAAATGCTTTGTACTTTGCAACCTGCAGTCAACTAGAGACCATCTTGTGTGCAGTGACGCACCACCTCCCCATTTCCTTAACGCTGAACACATTACAGAGCAAACCGGTCACTGAATCAATGTTTTTTTCTAGACTGTCAAATTAAAATAACGTCCTGTTTTTGTTTAAAGGGATGGAAATTTAAATTGAATTTTATTTGTTTCATCAATCATTAAAAAAAACCTATTATTTTGATTATTAAAATAGTCGTTAGTGAGAAGCTCTAATAATATGCAGTTAATCCATGTGATCCGTATCGAATTTGGTATCAGCCGGTTTCACTCAGACGAGAGGAATCAGCAGCATAAAACCCAAATAAAAACACCCCTAATTTGTATACAAATAACTTTTTACTATTCACTAAATAATTTCCTCAAAATTGATTTTTAAATACATGCACGCTGCTTTAAAATTCAGGTCCCGGACCCTCACCCGTGTGGAGTTCGGCCCTTTAGGGAACCTACCAATGCCCTGAAAGCTGCCAAAACTGTCCACAGATCTTTCGGTAAATTATGTGAGTTGTTAGATCATGTGTTCTATTCATGATGGCTAAAAGAACAAACTGGTGCTGTTGGTGGGCCTTGCCGAGGTTCCTCTGTGCTCCACTGAGTGATATTCCACATTTCCCCAAGTGTATTGACATTGACGGAAATAGTCCCGAAATCCATGAAGTTTACATTGAAACCTGGGATGACATACAGAAATGTTGGGGGTTTTTCCCCACTCTTGTCAGCCTTTGAACTAGCTGTAAAAATTGGGAGTAAAAAAAAAAATATAATAATAATCAATGGTATCAGGTCACAAATCAGCAGAGGTCTTCCATGCCGGAGTTAATTGCTCATCAGCTGCAGGTGTGGGAGTGCACTCCAGAACCGACTCTGCGCAGCCTGACAATTTAAAGCGACAGACAACCAGAAAGCAACAGGACTGAACTTGCCAGAATGAAGGAGCAAGCTTGGCACAAGTAGACGCAGAAGAAGGATCTGCAGACTCCTTGTTTCTTTCCTTTTCTTCACCATGTCTTTGTCATTTGTTTCCTGTATTTCCTTATCACCTTGTCTCCTTCCTTTCATGTAATTGTCTCCTTGCTTGTTTCCTCGTCTTGTCGCCTTTTCTTTCATCTCACCCCATCTTTTCCTTCTGCCCTTGTTTCCTGACTGCTTGTCTCCTTTACTCAAATTCCCTTTTCTTCTCCTCTTCCTCGCGTCCTTTGTCCTTGTCTAGCCTTCCATGTCAACAAAGCTTCTTTAACTTCTTCCCTCTCCTCATTTCCTTTCCTTGTCTCCTTTTCCTCCCGCCTTTTTGCCTTCTCTTTCTTTCCTCATCTCCTTTCCTTTCCTCGCGTCTCGTTCCTTCTCCTCATTGAACTTCACCCTTTGCCTCATCTTACCTTATACCCCATCTCCTTTTACTTTCCTTGTCTCTTCATCTCCTCTTGGCCCTATTGACGGTCTTCCCTGCAAACACAGCTCCTTAAACTTCAGCCCACCTTCCTTCCCACCTTGTCTCCTTCCTTTTCTTCCACTTGTTCCTCTCCTCCCTCCTTGCCTCCTCGTCGGTTGCCCTCGCTTGTAAACAAAGCCCTTCATCCTTCTCCTGCATTCATCCCCATGAGGTCACGCGCTGCGTGTGCGGAGAAAGAGAGAGAGAGAGAGAGAGAAAGGGGGGGAGGCGGGGAGTGCCGGTCGCGCCGAGGCGGGACGTGTTGGTGCTGGTGATGATGATGCTTGCCCTTCCTCAGCGGTGGTGCACATGTCGTCGGGTGCACATCCTTCTGCGCCTTCTTCATCACCACCACAATCATCATCATCATCATAACCATCACCTTCACGGGGAGAACACAAGGTAAGAACACGATTGCTTTTCCCCACTTGCGTTGCCCGTCGTGCTTGTGTACTACGTGCGGGCTCGTGCACTCGTGCTCACAACGTCAGAATGAAAGCGTCAGCAAAACGAAGCTTCCAGATGATACGCTTCCGTCCACCGTTCCACGCATGACGACACGCATGCGTTCCCAAAGTTGTCCCCGGGAGCGGTGTCACGCACGCACACACTTTCCCCGGCGAGAGCGCGCATGCTCCCGACACCAGCGCCGCGCCTCCTTTTTATTCATAAGGAAGCCGTAAAAGTTGATGAGAGGCCAGCCGATTTGCATATTGACCACGGCAGCGGCGTAATCAATCAAATACAGCGTAAAATGATTAGTTTCATGTTTCATATGGAAATAAATTACGCTGCAGTGACAAACACTTTCTATCAACCTTTAGAAAAACTGGCAGCTCTGCGCATGCGCCTCACAGACGTGCATGAGCCTGCAATTTGCTCTCCAGTTGACATGGGGAACCATCAAGACCACATTACAGTAATATAATATTACAACAATTTACAATAGAATAAAATATAGGAATTGATAGTTCAATACACTTAAAAAATACGTTTCAATGTTGGAAAATATAATCACATAGTGTGGAAGTGAATTGACTCAACCACACATTGGCAGACGCACATTTTGGTGAAACTATTAGTGGTATGATTACAATAGATGTCAAGCGGAATTGGAGTCTAGAGTATTTTTGGGTGGACTATTATGGATACAGACAGAGAAAGATTACTTGGCTCACTCGGTGCTGCTGGTTTGGTGAGCAACAGAGTTGGCAAATATTACACCTATTTTAAGAAAATGTAGCCGTGTAGTTGTAGAAGAATTCGTTGTCGTAATTAAGGAAGGCATTTATTCTCAAGTGATGATAAACCCTGCAAATAAGTGAGTCACCACATTTATTAGAGGTATGGCACACTTTTTGAGGAAAAGTGGGAGTATAGGAGATGTCGTAAAATAGCCATCATTGAAAAGGAACCGTTCACCTGCCTTGTTGTTTTTTTTTTGTTGTTTTTGCTGCTTTGGTTAGCATCGGATCTCTTCAGTTCACACTTTCATTTGCTTTTGAGAATGACGGTGTCTATGAAATGGCGTAATGACACTTGTTGAGTTTTTTTATGATGGAAAAAGGGAGGTGTTCCTTTTTTACAGGTGCATAGTGCACCCTCAACTAATTGGGGCACAGAGAATGGGTATGTGACAGTTGAAGAAATGTGGGAGTGGAGAAGTAGAAGTTATCGCTGTCTTCATTTGAAATGGCTAGGTGAGGGAGGCGTTTATTTGAATATGGCAACTATTTGAATCACATTTTGTGTAAGTGCCTCAGTAGTTACTGCTGTTTTGGTTTGACAACAGTGTTAAGGCTTAGCAGTTCCAGTGGGAGGTGTTTATTGGTTGTTGTCTTATTTGAGGAAATGTCTGGCAGTAGAAGTCGTAGTTGTGGTCATAAATGATAGAAATAAATCTAATTCCAGTCTTCGTTTGATGACTGAGTGATGTCACAAGCAAATTACCCGAGTATGATCTTGAACTATGGGGACTGGAATGCGCCCAAAAGTCTCATTACTGTTTCTGGTGCACTCGTGGAGCATTGCGGCTTCTAACGCACAAATACTGGAGTGTTAAATAGACCGTTTCTGACCAAATACTTGTTTTGGGTTTTTTTTTTTTGTGTGTGTGCAAATACATAATTTAATGGCTTTGCTGGTGAATGTGTGGATTTTATTGGGTCAAGTCAAACACCCACGTAGGAGAGATGAAGAGGATGAGAATGAGGAAGCGGAGATCCTTGCAGCAGGGCTTCCCTGTGCAGCTTTTCCCTCCCCCTTCCTTTCTCTCATGCAGCTTTCTGGGGCTTCCCTTGTTTCATCTACCTCTTTCCCTCCTTCCTTCCTTGACAGTACTCCGTAAAGCGGAAAGCAGCATATTAATGACGTGTCCCGCTCGTTTGCTGTAGTGACTGATGACTTGTCAAATGTGCTTATGCAGCTTTTTTGTGCCACTCGTTCATTACTCCTTCCTCCCTCCCTTCCTCCTCCTCTTCTTCATTCGGCTCTCCTCCTTTAAATGCTCACCCCCTCCCCTCATCTTTCACAGTCCCTCGTCTAGTCCACCTTCAATCCTTCCATCCTTCACCTCCCCCCCCCCCTCCTCCCTCCTTTGCTGCATCCTGCTTCTACGTCCCTTCTGGTTGACACACATTTCACGGCGTCAAAACATGGCTGCTGTGTTCGTGTCTCCTTTTTCCACCTTCACTCCTAACTCCACCTGCTCCTCCTCCTTTCTTAGCACTTCCTTGAATCATGAATCTACACCTCCTTGCTTTCCCCTAACGACACCTCATTTCCTTGGCACCAGAGCTAAACCTCCTCCCCCCTGCTTCACCCCTTTGCTTCCTCCCCTCCAGGCGACACCGCCTACTCTCTTAATTCAAGTCATTGCTTCCTAATCCTAGGTTAAAAAGGTGCCGTGCTTTTTCATTTTATTTTTATATACTATTTTTTGTGAAACTGATAGGAGGCTTAGGGTGCAGTGTACACTAACACAAAAATATATAACACGCACACAAACACAGCTTCTTTTTTTTTTTTTTTTTTTTACGTCCCTAAACGCCCCGCAATCGACTTGGGACCAGTCCGCGGGCTACCGGTCGATCGACACCTTCCTTTCTCTTAATTTTTGCCTCCACCCTCCTAACTATACCTCCTCTTCAAACTACATCTCCTTGCCTTATTTTGTTCCCCTCTAACGAGACCCTTCATCCCTCCTTCTCCTGCTCTCTGAATGACACCTCCTTTTCCCTCAATCCTCTTTTAAAAAGACAGTCATACCTCGGTTTTCGACCATAATCCGTTCCAGAAGGCTGTTCGAAAAACCGATTTGTTCGAAAACCGAAACCACGCTCTTTTTAAAAAATAATCTTCATTGAACACGTCTGTTCACCGTGGAACGCTAAACGAGGAAGCGTTACTTCCTCATGTAAGGAAGGGGAGGAGTCAAGTGACGCATTCAAGTGCGCTCAGTTTGTTCGACAACCGAAATTCGGTCGTCATCCGAGGCATAAAAAACTTGAAATTTTTGGTCTCAAACCGATTTAGTCAAGAACAGAGACGTTCGAAAACCGAGGTTTGACTGTAGCTTCTTCCTCACCTTAACTACACCTCCTTGCCTCCTCAACCCTTATACTTTGAACCACACCTCTTTTACTCCCCGTTTTCTTCTTGTATGAACTATACATTTGCCTCCCTCTGTAATTACACACAAGCCTTGCATCCGCCTGCTCTCCCAACTACATCTCCTTGCCTCCTTATTTGAACTCCCCCTCTTTCCCTCCTCTTCTTGCGTTCACACACTCAAACCATCCTCCTCTTCATCCCTCCCTCTTCCATTCCTACATCCTTCCCTCCAATAATCACCCCCTCCTGACTGCTCCGATGACTCTCAGGATCCCTGACGGACTCTTTCCACTCACCGCCGCTCGTCACACTTTTTAATTAGGCTAATGAAGGCTGTAATTGTAGCGAGGGCAAAAATCACTGCTGCTGCTCATATAATCGCAGTCCAGGGAATTGATTAATTCCGGCAGATGGGTGCGAACATGCTGGATTCAAAGCCTCCATGCGGAAAAGTTGATGACTGCCTTGAAAAAAAAACAAAAGAGAGAAAATAATATTTGTACAGTATAATGGAGGGATGCGGTACAGAGAGGATGAAAGGAGGTGTCGTTAAGAGGGGAGGGTGTGAAGGAGGGGGTGTTAGCAGGTGTCGAAAAGAGGCATGGAGGTGTTCGGAAGAGGATATTAAGGAGTGACGAAGGGATCGTAAGGACAGGAGTAGGTGTAATTAGGAGAAGACGATGAAGACGAAAGGAGGTGGAGTGAGAAGTTGAGAAATAACCACGAAGGTGTTGTGAGGAGAGGATAAGCTGGGAACAAAGTGTAGGTAGACTCCTTTGATACCATGGCAGCAAATGACTTTGAAAAGTGACACGCAGCAAAAAGACAAGACAAACAGAGCAAGATGTAGATTAGCCATCAAACATCGGCAACCCGGCACATCGGCGGGATATGAACAGCGCATCAAATTCTGAATGAAACAGCAGCAAAAATGATGGCGTGTCCATCACGGTATAGCCATAAGGAAGAGGGTGTATTGAAGGAAGTGATAACGACAGAAGGAAGGATTGGCTGAAGGAAAAGGAGGGAGGAAGGAGGAAAGGAGAAGAAGAAAATTGTGTGTGCAGAAAGGAGGGCCTAAAGGAAGGGTGCAGGTGCAAAGAGGGGAGGACTGATGGAGGATATTGTAGCGGACATGAAAATGTCTCGCCTCACATTTAACACTTCTAATATGACGCGCGCACGCACGCACAGGTCCGCTTCCGCGTTCCCAATAACCACGACACCAGCTGTCCCTGTTGGCTCTTGCCTCGTTGTGTGTCTGTGCGCACACGAGCGCCGCTCTGTTGTTGCTCCCCGCCCACGTCTTCTTCTTCTTCTCCTGGTGTCCTGAGACTTGAGCGTGTGGGCAGCAGATTAGAGTAAAGTCAGTGCGCCGACGCCGCCGGCACAAAGCCCCGTTAATATGCAACTTGGAAACCCAACAGCGGCGCCTCGAGTGTGTGTGTACAGTCGATCCTACTACGGCGCAGTGGCGTCTCACAGCGTTCAGGAATGAACACGCCGACAAAAACATGATTGCGTCTTGTTCCACTCGACATGCGGGGCAACCTCAAGGTGTTTATTGTTATCACAGCGCACGATGGAAATGCCATTGAAGCGAAAGTGTTTGGAACGGAATGGCTGACTCCAAGTTTTTCTTACCGCCTTCCTTCTTTCCATCTCATTCGTTCACTCCTTCCGTCGTCCTTCACTCCTCCCCCCCTTTCCATGTCCTTCCCTCCTTCTTTCCTCCTTTCTTTCCTTTCTGTTTTTCATTTGTCATCCCTTCCTTCCTTTGCCCTCATAACATCCATCCTTCTGTTTTTTTCCTTCATCCTTCCATCCCATTGATTTCATTTTTTTTCCTTAACTCGCCCATGTTGAATCCTTAAATTCTCTTTTCCTTCCTTCCTTCCTTCCCAATTATATTCCTTCCTCACCTCCTTCTTTCCCTGTGGACTTTCTTTTCTTTCTTTTGTCCACAACCTCCATTCTTTCTTTCTGTCTGTCCAACCATTCTTCCTTTCAATTTTTCCTTATCTCCTTCTTGTTCTTCTGTCCCTCCTTCCCTGCTTCATGATATATTCCTTTTTACATCCCATCCTAACTACTCCACCATTCCTCCTCACCTCCTTTCCCCCTGCTCTTCATTCCTTTCTTCTCTTCCTCCCCTCTGTGATTCTTTTATGCCTCACTCCTCCTTCCCTTCCTCCCTTCCTTCAAGCTTTACTGAATTCCCTGCTTCATTCCTTCCCTTCTGCACTTCTGCACTGTTAAGACATGAAATTGCTCATCCCATGAAACATACAAACGGCAGCTCGGTCTTTTTTGGTTTTTCAGAAATAACTGCAGCGGAATGCCTACTCGGACTGTTTCCAGGACCCGCCCGAAGTAACCATTACAGACGCTTCCAACAGCAACACAAACAACACTCTGAGCGTTGCCGTGTTCCAGAGCGCAAATTGTGATCCATAATCATCAGAGCTCTAAGGTACTATGGATTTCCCGGCATTATTGACCTCACTCCTGATTATTGGTCTGTCCCAGAACCTGTTTTTGTGAACAGCGCAGTGCATGGAAACATTAAACTGAAAGAAATAGGAGTAAAAATAAAAGAGGTCAAAATTAACTCGACACTTGGATGACAACGATTCACTTAACCCAATCATGCCGTTCCCATTCTGTAAAAGGTAAGACGGGAAGCGCTTCTGATAACTTAATATACATGTGTAAAATTCATGAATAAATCAGATTATATTTTTGTTTTGTAAAATAAATAAATAAATAATTTTGCAGTGCTCTTCTTGTTTGACAAGAGGAAGGAAAGTAAAAATGATTTGTTTCTCGAACATCTAAAGAGCAATAATCATCAAAAGCGGCAGCGGTGCACTCCACTGACTTCCTCATCTCCCGCTTCTCAGATTTGGTTCGTCGTTGCCAAACAGCCAGCCTTAGCGGTTGAATGGAGCAAAGTCATCATTCCGCTGGAACAATACCGGGACAGAACCTTTTTCTTGAGGCTTTGTTTTTTTTCCCCCTCAAGGGTTTCCATCTGAATAATCTGCTCCGGTGTGAGGTGCAGACTTTGCTGTGTGTTGTAACAAAGACGCAATCCTAACCACCACTTAACAACATGCACGCTGCCCACGGCATCAACCGTGCCAAACTCGGGGGGGGAAAAAAAAAAAAATCCCCTTTCGGGCTTATACTCAGCTGTTTACGCACGCCTATAAATACACGGCCGTCATATTTCACTGAACCGGGAGAGGATGAACCGCTCCATCCACGGTTATGACATCATGCCGTTATGTGCAAAGAGTCTGGTTTTGTTATTGTGCTATTATCCGTGCCTATAAATACACGGCCGTCATATTTCACCGAACCGGGAGAGGATGAACCGCTCCGTCCATGGTTATGACATCATGCCGTTATGTGCAAAGAGTCTGGTTTTGTTATTGTGCTATTATCCGTATTGTCTACCCGTCTTTCTGTAAACATGGTGAGGTGTGGGCGGGGCTCGCATTTGCGCGAAGGCACACCTTTCTGCCATCCAAGAAGAAGCCAGCAGGTGTTTTCCGCTTCAGTGTGTTAGCCCAATCAGCGCTCGAACCTCTCTCTGGCTTTCATGGCTTCCTCTGTATGTGTGTCCGAGTGTGTTGATGTTCCACATACTTACCCGCACATTCTACCTGCGTGACCTTCATTCATTTGGCCCCGGGCAGCAGCACATCATCATCAGCAGCCGTGTGTTTTTTAATGAATTGGAAAATTGGAATATTGGCAAAGGCGGCGGTCTGGTGGTTAGCGTGTCAACCTCACAATTCCAGCCTCGGCGGGCTCCCTGTGTGGAGTTTGCACACAGGGGCCTGCGTGGGTTTGTGGAATGATCGTGGAAAGATGATTAAGTGTCTGGCAGAATGCACAGATTGACAGATTTGTCGTCTTCATTTCAACATCCCTCCACCCAGAGTGCGGAGGCGCAGGCCAAAAAAATGTGCAAGCGGAGTAGCTTTTCGAATCGGAGCAAACGGGGGAATAGGCCCTTAAAATGGCATCACTGAGTCACCCTTGCTTTGTCACAAAGCCCTCGCGCCGCCCCTGGTCTCTTGTTAACATTTGCGCTCTGCATTTGCATGAGACAGAAGCACCCTTGAATGTTTTCATGTGGATGTGAACTGTCTTGTATCTCTTTCTCCTTTGAGAAGTGATGAAGACACCCGGGAATTTGATTTCAAAATGCATATGTCTCCTTTTAAGATCAAACTTTTAGTTTCAAATTGAAGACGTTCTACTCGTTGATCTCTCATTTAATGCTTGCGCATGAAACCATCTTCTGCGAGTGTGTGGGCAGATTAGTGACCTGCAAGCCCCAGATGATGCATCTGAGTGTTATTGTGTTGCCATATGGTGATGGCAAACTTCTGTTTGAGGGGCTTACAATGTACACAAGTATACGAGACTTATATAAGACTCCTTTGGGCTTCATCCAAACAAATGTTGTTGTTGTGCGTGTGTGTCACTGTCTAGTCAAGTTGTCAGAAGTTGCCGCACACTGGAAGCCTCTGGCGATTATTGTACAATAATCAGCTCGTTTAATCATGATGTGACTCCACAATGAAAGATCTATGTGCAGTTTGGAGCACTTTTGTCCACGGCTGAGCCGCAGTGCTGATCCGGTGAACGATTGGCGACAATTGAGCCTTGGCAGAGGTACTACTACATTTTGTCACAGATGACATGATGACTTTGGGTGTGTGAAAAGAGGATAAATGATTGAAAAGCAAGCCGAAGATGTGCACTCCAATGACTCGCTGTATTGTCTACTTGGTGACCGTGTATCTGTGGCTCGCTGATAACACTTGTTTGCATTAGCATGCTATCAGCAACAGCAGCCGCCGCAGTGAAGGTGAAAGTCAGTGACGGACACAAAGGCGGGCAGCTCAAAAGAAGAGAGACGACTTTGTTTGCTTATGTAGCGATAAGGGATACAAATTCTGTAACTAATTAACAGTCTTAATTTTACTGCCTGCAATACACTGAGCCGCCACTAGGGACACCACATTGGGGTTTTGTTTTGTTTTTTTCCTTTATTAAAGGCTTAAACGGACGCAAAACCTCTGAAAATCAGTCATTAGTTCAGAGGCTGCTCCATGTAAAGAGTTTTGAGTTCACTTTTGAAGCTTAGAGGTTAATAACTTTAATTCATCCATCCATTTTTTTCTTCTGCATTAATCAGTCCTGATGTCAAAGTTGCGTATCAGTCAGACCAAGATTCGTGCATATATCAGAGAATATATTTTGAAGAGCTGTGTCCACTGTAATGGCGAATGTGTGCTTATTTGCATATTTGATCACACGTGTTGTCCCTAACATTTGGCAAGACTCGTCAGTGAAGTCGTCTGACTGTGGGCCGGAAGGACTTTTTACGGCTACAGATGATGCGCCTCGCTCAAGTGAAATGGAGCTTTAGAGACCGTGTTTGGCATTTTGCATGTCCGACACAATACACATCTCCATAAACTACACCAAGAGCAATCAAAAAAGAAACCAAAAAGATTGAAATTATTCAAGCCAAAGAGATTTTTAATGTCAGTTTACCGCTATATAAACACAACCCCACCGGCCAGCCGCTGAACAAAAGCATGCTAGCCAATTGGCAGCACTCTGTTGGATACAATTCTACATTTGTTGATGAAACATTTTATGATTTACTTATCGCTAAATGCACGTCGTCCCTCCTCACAGTCATTTAAATTCTTCCAAAATCACAGTATCGCGCTTTCATTCGCTCCATGGTAAACAATGTACTTTCCTTAAATGGCCAGTAAACTAACGCTCTTGGCTGGCTACCTCGATGGTACGACGGCGGTATTGCAAACCAAGTGTCATGTCAAAATGATTTTCATCATTCACATTTGTTTTTGAATGAGCAAAGTCACGCTGTGGTTTGCGGGTTAATTTGGAGAGTCCCCTTGATATCGAGCTTGAGCTTCGACATAAAGGATCCAGAAATTAATCAAATAATATGCGCGGTGGAATAAATTGATGATGAAAGGAGGCGGATAAGTCATTGTGGTAAAGAGCATGGTGTAATTCCACCGCCTGCTTTCGATAACCGTCAAGCTCGTTTTTACCCGGCAAATTGCAGGCTTTATTTAAAGCCGAGGATTAATGTCGCTGCTTGTGCGTATGTCTGCGCACTGATTGAATTCATCTCTACGTGTAACACTCCACTTACATTCCATAATGATGCATGAGTCGTTATATATGCCTTACACCCTTCCTGCTTTCCAATTAGTCGAAAAGCGGAGATTACTCCCAAAGAAGAAAGCTAGTCAGCTCGTGGACACGTCAAAGAGTAAACTGGCGGGCTTATTTGAAGTTGGGCTCTGTTGGTAACCAAAACAATAGTCCCTCTAATCGATCCTGAGCCCCCATTAGTTCCATCTTTCAATTTTACACCTCCCATTTCCCAGCAGGTAGTCAACTGTAATTACGTAATTTCACGGAAGCTATTAAAGAGTCAGTTGCCCAACCTATCGGAAAACGTTTGCTAACCAAACAAGCAGCATCCACAGAAGCAAACAGTCCCTCACATGAATTAGAATCTAGAACGGTAAAGTGGAAAATAGGATCTTATGTGGCAAAGACATCACTAATGATCGATAGACTCTCAGTCCACAGTGTTGTGTGTCCATAGACCGTGAACTCATTTGGTAACAGAAACAGCAGCACCAAGGGGGTCATGTAAACCGTGTTTTTACATTTTTTTTTTGTTTGTACACCCCATCTGCAGTTGAGTAAATAACGGGCTGCCGGGGTATTATTTGCAATATGTTAACTCGGTTTTGTAGGAGTAAAGACTTGCTAGAAAACGTTTTGAAGGAAGGCTTCTAAAAATATGCAATAGAGTGACTGCTTGTGTCAGCCCTCAGCGTCCGGGTCGGCTTGCTCTCTCTAACTCATTGAGTTGACCTGTCATTGTGTCACAACGTTGAGTTCCAGCCGCTCTTTTAAATTGCTCGTGATTCTCTCTCTGAGCAAAATTTGGAGCGTCTTCGGTGAGAGTGACAGAAGGCCAAAAAAAAAGAAGAAAAAAAAAACGCTTGGCATTGCATTTTCTCTCAAACAGTTTCTGGGAATGTTGCACATGAACTAATCAAGGCACATGGTGTTTTTATCTGGAAACAAAATTTGGAGGCTCAGTGAGCAACTTAGAACGATTGTTCAGGAAGAACCAGATTGTAGAATTAAAGCGAGACTATAGGCCTAAAGGCAGCATTTTTTGGCAGTACAATACCATAGCTATTTCTGTAAAAAATGGTGAAGTGATTTTGGTTACAATCAAGAAAACCTTTCGAAAATGTCTTGATCAGCTCTTGGATTCAAGTCTTACGAGCTGTTTTTGTTGGCATAAATATATTGGGTTCAAACAATTGTACTCGGCATTTAAAATGAAAAGGAAACTGAAGAAACAAGGCTGGACTCCTT